TCCAAAAACTTATTCATCTGCTTCCTTTGATGAGACATACTGTATTGGGCATTTTCAGCTTTTTCTATCATAGTATCTAATCTACTAAGATCTCTGTCAAGCGCTTTAGCTAGGTCGTTTTTCCTAGCGGAAATTTTATTGTCTTCTTTGGCATCGAAATCTTCAACAGTGTCACCGCTGGCGTGGTCGTTTAAAGATGGTTCGATGTGAGCTTCTTCAGGTTGATCGAATTCGCTTTCCAATGGAGTCTCTACGCTCGATTTTCCTCCCATTTTGATTCTCAGAAGATTGGTTAGCGATCCGCAAGATGCCTGGAGAAAAAATTTGAGTAGTTCAGTGTCATAACAGTGTCATATTGAAATTATGTTAGGTTTTTTAAGCCACATATACGGTATGGCAACGAATTCCTTATTGAAACCAGTTGAAAAACTTCAGAACAAAATTATAAGGTGTATATACAAGTTGAACTACAGCGAGTCTACAGTCAACTTGTATAAACCAAAAAAACTATTAAATTTGTCATCCTTATATAAGTTCAAATTATATAATTTCACTCATTTGCCAAAAATAAGCTCAAATATTCAAATTTGACTTTCAAAATCAACAGTGACCAATGAGCTTAGTTAAGGATTTTTACCTGTGCAGGTAAGATGTGCATTAATAAACGCAACCACTACCGCTAGCCAGGTAGCCCAGACTATAACCGAAAGAGCAAGAAAGACAGCAAATCAAAAAACCAACTGTTCTGAAATTCTCTCTAGAAAACGTTGCTAGCTCCTATACTATAAGCAAAAAAAACCTGAAATGGAATAACAGTGAAATTAAATACAAGTAAAAATAGAACAATTTAACATAAAATTAAAATAAAATAAAAGAGTTGGGGGATTTCAAGCCAAGTTACTTCACTTCACGATCTACAATCGTCTTCGGGTGATGACTGGACTTATTCCTCCGAAATCTGACTCTTTATAGGTCATTTGAGGACTTTCACTTATCTCTGCTTTCCTTTTTCCGCTTCACTGGTTTAGTGGGAGAGGACCGTTTGGCGGGAGTTGGCCATTTTTCGCTTGATTATGTGTTTCCATATGTTGTGTATCTCTACGCTAGCTTGGCTGAAAACATTGTTGGACAACATGTATGCGGCTTCTTTGAATTTTCTCCTAAACCAATGTTCATTTTTGTATATGATCTCAGCCTGGGACAACTCGATATTATGTTGATGGGTCCAAACATGGTCTGCTATTCCTGATTTGCTGGTTTCCCCTCGCTGTGTGTGTTTCTTGTGCTCGGCAATGCGAACATTCAATGGCCTCTTAGTTTCACCGATATAGGAGTTTTCGCACTCACAGGGTATCCGGTAAATGCAATTCTTGGAATCGCACTTAGCGTTTGGTGGCCTGGTTTTCGTGAGGCTGCTGCGAATAGTGTTTCCGGATCTATGGCAGGTTCTGATGTTGTACTTGAACTCAATTCTTCTTATCGTTTCCGATAATCCTCTGATGTAGGGAAGTGCAAGCACTGGAGTAATATAGCTACAGGAGTTCTCGCCCATTCCTTATGGAAATCAACATGGGAAAACAGCTAAGGTCCATTCTGGACCTTTTAAGACCTCCGATCGGAACTTTGTGGAACACCCAACTCGAGGTAGGCGTGACGTAGTTGTCCGCACTCCTCCACTTTTCGTAATTACCCAGTCGACCAATCAGGAGCTACCGCGCATACAGCGGGAAATTCAAACCAGTAGATGAACAAGGCGGATTCTGGCACACTTCAAGGTCATGCGTCGCTGGTAAGTATTTCAGAGAGAAACTTCAGTTCCATCCTACGTCATCGACGTAGGATGGAACGAGTATCGTAGCGATTCAAGCATGTAACTCGGTCTCCTTGGGACTCCGCATCACCCCTTGTCACGTTCCAGTCACTGAAGTTTCTCTCTGAAATACTTACCAGTGACGCATGACCTTGAAGTGTGCCAGGAACAAGTTTGTTCATCTACTGGTTTGAATTTCCCGTTGTATGCCCAGTAGCTTCTGATTGGTCGACTGGGTAATGACGAAAAGTGGAGGAGTGCGGACAACTACGTCACGCCTACCTCGAGTTGGGGGTTCCACAAGGTTCCGATAGGAGGTTGTAAAAGGTCCAGAATGGACCTTAGCTGTTTTCCCATGTTAATTTCCATAAGGAATGGGCGAGAACTCCTATAGATATATTACTCACTGGTTGTGACGGTTTCTCTTCCTTTCGGAGCTCCTGCTGTCTTTTACCCAAAGTCTGTTCCACCATCGCTTTGGAGTAGCCATTCCGTTGAAGATCATTTTTGATGATGTCTAGTTCCTTCTCCGAAAGCACGATCTAATAGGTTTTTGATGATTCCTGTTTTAGTCGATTGATGGTGGTTTGATTCGTGGTTCAGAAACTGTCCCGTGTGAGTGGGTTTTCGGTATACAGATGTTTCCCATTTAGTGTCAGTCCTCTTCACCAATACGTCTAAGAATGGCAATTCGTTGTGGACTTCATTCTCCATTGTGAAAGTTATGGAAAGTCTTATGCTGATGATGTGATTCAGGAAGGCGTCTAGTTCAGTATTCACATGGTTTCATATTATGGAGGTGTAGTCAACGTATCTCAATCAGACACGAGGTTTCTTGTGGGCTTCTTCAACAGCCAGAGTTTCAAAACACTCCATATATTATGTTGGCTATGACTGGTGGAAGTGGCGATCCCATTGGCAGTCCGTCATCTTGCTTATTATTATTACTTATACAAATTTTTGTATGTTACCTTCAGCCTGTTTAGCTTGCCTTGGGTTTTCTGTAGGATGACATTCAGTTCTTCCAAACCTCCTGATACTTTCTTCAGTCCTTCCTCTTGATGATCAACTGTCTACGATATAAGAATATTGTATTAATATCGTCCTACTGAGTTTTGGGAATTAACTATTTTTTTCATTACATTTGGCAACCAAACTTCTCCTTTAGTCAAATATTCCAATTTAGAAAAAAATATTTTGAAATATTTCGACATTGAATGACAGATTTGTATAAATAATTACGCTCTTCATTGTAGACTATTGGATACATTGAGTATTTTCACACGTACCAATATTTAATTACTCAAAACCCACATATAGACCACGTTTACATGGTATCTTGAAGCAGACTTTATAACAACCGATGGTACTAAAACCAACTTTAAAGCATGTGTTAAAACTATTTTATCAAACAGGTTCAGGAACACTTAACCTTTTGGAAAGCGGATTGGCGTTAAAAAACGGAATCATAGAGTCGTGTGAACACCTACTTTAAGCATTGTAATAATTTAGTGACATGAATATTCACCAAAGTATCAAAAAGATAATTTTCCTTTAAAATTATGCCGCATTAAATAGGTTGAAAACCTTTTGAAGACCTGCTTGATTCAATCAGAAAAAGACAAATGAAGGATTCGAGTAGATGGGAAAAGATTTGGGTTGATGATTCACTACAATCTAGGTAGTAGGTAGTGATTTTCCTTTAAAATGATGTCGCATTGAACAGGTTGAAACCTTTCAAAGATCTGCTTGATTCAGCCAGAAAAAGACAATTGAAGGATGCGAGTAGATGGGAAAAAATTTGGGTTGATCATTCACTATAACCTAGGTAGTAGGTTGTAATTTTTCTTTAAAATGATGTGGCATTGAACAGGTTGAAACCTTTTCAAGACCTGCTTGATTCAACCAGAAAAAGACAAATGAAGGATAGGAGTGGATGGGAAAAGATTTGGGTTGATCATTCACTACAACCTAGGTAGTAAGTAGTTAGTAATTTTCCTTCAAAATGATGTCGCATTAAACAGGTTGAAACTTTTTGTGGACCTGCTTGATTCAACCAGAAAAAGACAAATGAAGGATGCGAATAGATGGGAAAAGATTTGGGTTGATCATTCACTACAACCTAGGTACAATTAACAAAACATACCACAAAATATACGTTCTATTATGTTTGACAAAATGATTCATAAAGCAATTTTCAGAATTATCATACTTTGCTTACCTTCAAATTTTCTGTATCCAGATTTTCTTCCTCCACCAATTGCGCCTCATTTTCCACTTTCTTCGCAATGAATTCGTCGTAACTAGGTTTTTCAATTCCCAATAATTCAGCTCTCATACATTCGTATTCATATGTACCTTCAGACATAATTTGATTGAGATGTCGGCAAATTTCTTGAGATTATTACATGAACGGCCTCTGTGTGAAAACACAACTTGTATTCTAAGGCATGGTTAGAAAATCAGCGTTGCCATATCCCCAGAATCGAAAACGTTAGATTCTCTGATCTGATTCTCCAGGAATAATTCGGAGGAAAACTCAGAAAACACGGAGAAATGATGAAAAGAAGAATATATTTTGTCTTTAATGTCATGTGTTTTTGTAGCTCGAATAATATTTATTCTACTGACCTATAGAGAATTCCCTACTTTATACATTGACGCTGTTAATTTTGATCCAAATTTTAATTTTTTGCCTCTTCTCAGCCTATTTTTATATGATTTTAAAAGATTTTCGGCCAATTTGAGCAGTTACAGATTGAATAAACAAGATTCCAACTACGCCAAATATCTTATAGAAAATACTTACAATTTCATATAAAATCCAAAAGTTTTACACATTCAAACAGAAAGTCTGAAATTAAATATATTGGAATCTAATGATAGAATGCTGATAAAAACAACATTGTTCTGGATAATCAGATAGATATTTATAACTCACCAATCATCAATAATGTTATCAGTGATTTCCTAAATCCCCCTTTATACCCCTAACAACCTTTCGAAGCAACTTTTAGTATTCAAGGATATGACATCATATACCTAAGTTAGTTTATAACTCGCTTAGAAGATGACACAGTGTGTTGTCTAAATTATAAAGTATTATTTTCACCCTACCCATTGAATTGAATGTCTTCTCACAACCAAAATGCACGGCACCAATGTATTTGAAGTATTGATTGATTGAAGGATGCAAAATAACAAATGTCACTTCAGTTGTTCAAAGAAAGAATCAAATTTTATTATCTTCATTTTCGAATGGATTTGTGTTCAAATGACTTCCAAAGTGAAACACTGACAACACCGCAATCAGTTGCGCATTTTATTTCTGCAGTTGTCCCAAAATCAGCCTGCATAATAGACTAAATAGTTGAAAAAATGTTCCAAACATCATGAAAGATTATTCAGTAACTTCATAATTTCATCAAAACCTGTTATCTACAATTTAAATTGTTCGTTCATTATCTTATGTGGATAACCACATACCAAACTTGCAGAAACTCATTGGAATTTCCTCCAATACAAGTATTGATCGTGTCTGTGGCTGCGTGACATTGGTGGTAACAAACTTCACAGACGGCGTTGACCTTTCAAAAGGGGTGAATTCGAATTATTCTGTCATTACTTGATTCTGTACCCAATGATAAAACTATTGAATGAAATAGCAGACTTTACATACAATGCATTTCAAGGTTTATTGATTCACAATTTGGTTTTAGAGAAGGAAAATCGACACAAGAAGCTATTAGGGCATCAACAACAAAAATTTACTGTGTAATTGATACAAAGAAACCAACAATAAGATTTTTTCTAGACTTGGCAATATCACGAATATATACCCTTCAGAATCCACAAAGTTTTTAGGAGTTCACATCGACCACTCATTGAAATGGCAATTTCAAGTTGACTACGTGAGTAAAAGACTCAATAGCAGGTCCTTTGCCTTAATGCAGCTTAAAAAATACTGAGTGAAGAACAACTGTTAGATGTTTACTATGCTCTTGTTAATTCTGTTCTATCTTATAATGTAATCTTATGGGGAGATGCAACAAATATTAATAGGGTCTTTGTTGCTCAGAAACGAATAATTCTTTTGCTTCACAATTTACATCATACTGATTCATGTAGACCTGTTTTCAAGCAAAGGAAGATATTGACAGTACCTTCTGCTCTTTGTGAAAAAATGCGACCTCGAATTAGAAACAAACTCTCATTGTCATAATTACTCAACAAAGAACGGGAATTGAATCAAACTACAACAACATCGTAAAAAATTATTCGAGAAGACGCCATCTCTAGCAGGTTTCAATTTTTTCAATTGTCTACCTTCCGGCCTAAAAAGTGTAGCATCAATTTTAGTATTCAAACGGAAATTAGTTACCGGCGACTTCGCCAAATTACCTCCTCCACATTTGCATTAATCCACAATCATAAGGACCAGACGCGTTGTTGATATTAAGCTGTTTTGAAATTCGCCTGACTATACGTTGTCGAAAAGTAATTTCTGGCATTGTGGATTCTAGTGTTTTAATAGTGGGTGGTGCCTTCTCCAGAAAATCGACTGTGGAGTGGGACACAAATTGTTCTGCTAGTAGATTTGCTTTTTCTATGGTTGTTGTTGCAATTGAACCATCCGCTTGTATCAGTGGTGGAATTGTGTATTTTGTGAAGTTCTTATTAAGAACTTAAGCTACCGACCAGAAAGATCTAGACCCGTTTGGATTGGCAAGTAGTTTATCCCTAATTCTCTGATTATGAAGTTATTTCCTTTCATTTATCCTAAGTTTGCAGCTTTGCGAGCATTAACAAACCTAGTTAGGTTTTCGGCACTGGGATTTTTGCGCCATTGACGATAGGCGAGATTTTTGGAGGCGACAGCTTTCTCGCAATTATTGTTGAACCATTTAATCATTATACAATTCGCATAAATATTGCATCTTGGCCAAGCCCTGAAATCTACTTAATAAAACTCCATGAAGTTGCCATTCAATTTAGGAATATAAAAGAAATTCTGAATCCTGATCAGTTGTTGCAGCTCTATTATGCACAGGTAGAAAGTAGACTACGATATGGCTTGACCTCCTGGCAACATCAACTTCATCGTCTTGTGTTTTTATAGCACAAAAACGTATTATACGTTCAATGTTGGGTTTGAGCTCTCGAACCTCCTGCTGAAATGTATTCATAGACCTGGAGATATTAACCTTACCCTCACTTTATATTTTAGAATTGTGTATATATATGTATATGAAAAAAGATACATTCCCCCAAGTTGATTCTAAACATCGGTATAACACTAAACACAAAAATAACTTTATAGTTCCTTCAACAAAACTTAGAATAACTCAAAATGCCCCAAACTTCAGGGCTCCAGAAATATTTAATTCAATCCCGGAAAACAAAAAATAGTAGCTCAATTTTCATTTTCAAACGAAATCTGAAAAATTGTCTAGTGTAAAATTGCTTTTACTCCATAGAAACGTTTTTAGAACATCACTTCTGAGGGAATATTTTTTTCTCATCTATTTATGTACTTATTTGCTTTTGATTATCTGTTATATATGACCGTTTGTATGTTTTTTATGCGGTGTTTGCTATTCGTTTGTTGATGGTATATGCACTTTATATGAAACCGTTCCTTTGACTTTTTCCATACAGCCTGTACTGTCTCAAGGAAATAAAATCATATTATTATTATTATTATTAGTGAATAAAATTATGTATAACTGCAAAAGGTGAAGAACGAGTGATTTCCAGTTGGGTTTAAATATAATGATACTGGGACAGGTTTGCTATGAAAGCCACATTGTCATTGTTAAAGCTCTTGAACTAAGCTCTATAATGAGGAAACATGCAATACAGAGAAGGCAAAGGAAAATTATAGAGAAACAGTGATTTCAGGACGTAGGATGCTCGATTACAATCAAGGTATCTACAAAAGTTATTTTCTATAATAAAGACCGGAATATTGACAAATATCCAGTATTAATTTATTTTGTCTTCTTCAATTGACGAATGACCAAATTTAGGTAGCTTACACATTGCTTGGATTTTGAAAATCCTTCGAAATAACATTGATTTCAGTTTGATCTTTCATTGTTTAAGTCGCCATCTATGAAGGAGTTATTCAAACATCATTTGTTTCCATACAGTTTTCTTTAATCAGTTGGGTCGAGACATTCTTGAAACAGTCAATTATAGTCTTCAGAAACGGCTCTGATTTAGATGAGGTTTTTTCTAAAACAGTTCGTTTTACAATATAGAGCTGATAAAATGGCACTTCAATATCGAATGATAAGTAGTACCAACTTGTGTCTTTTTTGGAGGTAGATATAATTCGTTTTTACTTGCAAAAGGTACCTATAACAACAATTCTCATAAATCCCTGAAAACAGCTACCTACTAACGCTCGTTGAAGCTATTGCAATTTTTCCAATTGTAAGTATACAATCGACAGGGTCATCAAAATTATTAAATTATTTGCGGATATAAGTATCATATCCAGTGAATGCATTAATAAAGAAAATATGATTTGTTTTGATCTTGAGGTGTTTTATCAACTTGATTTCAAATTAGCTGTTACGCATACTTTTTGACTGGGTAAAAAAACAATTAATTTCCATTACGTCTTGAAGCCGTCAGTACCAATATCTTCTGCTATAAAAACAGTATTACGATTGATGATATGATTGAATCATCACTTTCTGCTTGACCACCACCGGTCACTTTTTGCAGAGAAAACCAATTATTACCTTCGATGCTCGCCAAAAAGTTTTCTCTAGTTGTATTGAGAGACATTTATTCTTCAAATAAATATCCAATTGATTTTTTTTTGTTCGCAAATACATTTCTTCCCAAATTTTTTCAATGAGTTCTGAATTTAGCCCAGTTGAAAATTTTAGCCGCAACTCCTGCTCATTCATTATGTTTTCAAATGTACCGACTATTTTAATTCTTCCTCGAGTTATTTTTCAAACTAACTCAATCATCATTGCCTCACGAATGATATGGAATATCAATGAATTTACTGCTTTATTAGAAATATTTCTAATGATATGTTCCCGTCTTCACTATTTACAACGCCTTGTATGTTTTTGTATAGGTTAAATATGGTTTTCAAAAGAACTCTCATCTGTCCACACTTTTCATTTGAAATTATCAAGGGAATTGTCAGTTAAAGAGAGCTCATGTGTAGCCATCTACCGGTTCTTCTCAAAACTAAAATTGGCCTGTTCTGTGTTTTTGTCAGAACTGAGTAGAAGGAAAACCTTCAAGGACTGTAGGTACACAAGCCAATTTTATGTGAGTTAACTAATTTTACTAAAGAGTGAATTCATGAAGTTTGAGAAATAAATAAAAAGTATACCACATTCAATTTTGGCTTTTCAATCCAAGGAGGTCAGTTGAGAAATGACACAAGCAATAAATTAAATACATTTATTTTTCAATTAATGCCTATACCTACAATATTAAGATTCTA